GGATCTGTATTCCTCACTGTGCTCAGCGCAATGCCTGTCCTACATTTAGGATAATAAATTTTCGTTGAATGCATAAATAACCAAAAAAAGCTTGCTCAGGGCTCTGGCCTTTTGCACTAATTGCCATCAGATGGAGCTTTTGCCTGATTTGAGAGTTTTTCCCCCTAAAAGACCAACTGAGCACCACCTTTGCCTTCAGAGCGTATCCCCGAGACAGAAGTGTGGCAGCAGACACACATGGCTGTCTGGGGTGGTTGAATATTAATGGCACGTTCACATCCCACCTAGACATTGCCTAGACCTCTGGTTTTGGACTCAGTCCTAGATTCAGCTCCCAGCGCCATCATGTCTGACAAGGCACTTTGGGAAAGTGGGTCACCTCTTTGAACTTAATTTCCTCACTCATAAATAACGACCTTGAAGACTAATGTGGAGATTAAATGAGACAGCACGCTAGTGCCAGACGTATAACGGGCAGGGCAGGCTCAAGCCCGAGTCCACAACACCAGAGCTCAGGCTTCTTACATTACACTTGGTTTCCAAGGCATTTTAGACTCCTAGAGGAAAGGAGCCGTATCCTGTGCAGAGCCGCTTGGCATGCGCCTTGCTGCCCAGTGCCACGCAGGGCAGAGTAGACATGTAATCAATACTTGTGCAGCTGAATTGCTCCTGACTGTTATCCAGTCTCAGTGAATACAGAGAATGTGCGCTTGGGCATAAGGATTCATAAACACAGGGAATACCAAAGGAATCTTCGCTTCTCAATATTATTAGACTGGTTGTTCAGGAAGAGAAAATGTAGACGTCACATCTCTTCATTTTCACGAGGCTTTAGGCAGTCGAAGCACTTACAGCAGGTGCAAGTAACGGGAGACCCAAACCAAACTGGCTCTGAGAGGAAGGGCATTTATGCGCTTGCCTGCTTGGAAGGACGTCGGCATTAAGTGACGACACGATCAAGGACCAGCTTCTTTCTGCCTCGGTTCCAATGGCCAATCCGGATCCTTACGGATGTGAGTTCCCCACTAGTAGAAAAGGGATTTCTGAACAGCTTGAGTGATCGTTAGCCCAAAGGATCTTTAGGAAAGAGAATTAACAAGAGTCGCAGTGCGCATGGCAGACCTTCAACGCTGACTGGCCTACAGTGAAGTCTGGAGTTTAGTAGGGAATTGGCAACGCACACACATGTGTACACACGTACACACACTCAGCACATGAGAAGTGTACATACCACATACCACCCAGGGCTGCTGTGCTGCCGTATGAAGAGATCAGTACAGAAGCGGGGGTCCAGCTGGTGCTATAATTCCCCGTCTGGGGGGATGACAAGGAATACTTAGGCCAGAGAAAGGATGGACCGGAAGGCGCCCCTGTGTGGCTGGTTCTGCCGCTGGTCCCAGGGTCGGGGAAACAGGGAAATGACAGGTCGTCCCCCAGAGGGAGGCTGAGACTTGGAAACGCACATTAAACGAGAATACATATTTACCCCCTTCGCGTGCAGCCCAGGAAACATTTCTCTATGACTCACGCAATAAATTCGTGTCCTCTGGTTTCCTCTGAACAAGGCTTTCTGATTTTAGAGTCTTTTTGACTTTCTTTCTTTCTTGTTGCTTCTACTGCCTAATTATTTCACATATTCCATGGGAACCCTGCGTATTAGTCGAGGTGGACCAGGTGACACTACAGTGACCAGCGAGCCACAAAGCCGTGGAGATTCGGTGCCGTGACAGCGCAGGCCCAGTGTGATGAGCAGGTGGACTCAGTGGCCCAGAGGCTGGGAGTCAAGCCCAGGCTGAGGCAGGGAGGGGACATGAGGGGTCTGCGCTGGCCCAAAGCCGCGGGCGGTGCAGCTTTCCCTCCCGCCTCGCCGGTGAGGTTGTGTCGTGGGAGGACAACTGTGCCTGGAGGAGTAAGAAGTGGGGAGACACAGAGCTGTCCTCACGCTCCCCGGCCTGCCTGTCTGTCTGTGATCAGGTCCCAGATTTTCCCTGCTTCCACCTTTCCTATTTGAATCTCATCATGTAGGTCCTGTTTATCTTAATAGGAATTTTTATAACCTATAAATTCCCAGGTCATGTGAGCCACTCAGGTGACATCGCATGGCCCTCTGTTGTCCCTGTTTTTGTACAGACGCCCAAGTGGCACCTGCTATTCTGAGTTCACTTCCTTTGCCCCGCTGGGTGGTCTTCACAGGACGTCGGTCCAAAGAGGTCCTAGGGAGAATATCTTGTCCAAAGATTTAAAAAAAATAGTGGTGCTTGTTTCCTTTAGGCCCTTTCTGTTCTTTGATAAGACGACTCTTGCTCCCCACCTGCTGCCCACTTGGGTTCTCGTTAAATGTGGCCATGGGGGTGAGCAATTCCAGGTATTCCCTGCCGCCTGAAGCCCCAAACTCCACCTCGTCGTGTGCTGCCTAGCAACGGAGATGCAATAGCCCCGGGCATTTTGCTGTTCGTGACGTGCTGGTGGCGGCACGGTGTCATCCTGGGCAGCAGTGACAGGCTCCCGGCTCAGAAGACACTCTAGAACTGTCCCACAAAGAACTTGTTTTGGTTTTCCTGGTGGGGGACTAAGATCTATATGTCATCTCGCTATCAGAGTGTCAACCCTGGTTTTTCTTTCTTGACATTTCGGGGACGTGTGACTATGTAGTGATGACAAGGAGATGGAAACACAAAGCTGCAGAAGCCCCACAGGTGGAACTGTGTCCCGGTTACCTGACTTGCTGAAATCAGTGTCTCCTCTTTGTTTAGTGACAGGTGTCAGACATCGCTGTTTTGTCTTTTAGGGGTCCCTAAAAGGCCAGAGGGCACACTGGTTGTGAAGATGAGAGAGTAACTCTTGGGAGGATTTGTGAGGAAAAAAGCCAAGTTTTACAATAGAAACTTTGACATTAAGAATGGAAACACCGCCCTCCCATCAGCTTCACTAACAGAAGGCTCCTGCAAGGGGGTGGTGTTTCACTTCCCTCTCTGTCTTGCTCTGCAGCCTGCCGTCTGTGCGGCCAACAGGACACACAGACCAGTGCTAGACCCACAGACAGCAACACTGCCTTGGGCTCGCTGCTTCTGCCCGGGTTCCCAGAGTGGCTCTTACAGCTGCCACAGCAGCTAAGAAGCTGCACTGTCTCTGTTGTTTTTGGTTTTGAACCCCATCTATTGTTCACAGGATGGGGCAGACATGAGGAACACAGATATTCTCTGAAGCATGTTCTGAGAAGACACATGTGGTCAGCGAGTTGTCCCGACTAGAAAGCATCAGTGAATGACAAGAAATTTCTGACTTTTCCACTTCCAATTCCTCAGGACGAGCTGAGAAAAGATCTGTTTTCTCTTCACTTCTGTTAGTGACCGATGTAACCATAACTCATACCACTTGACTTTACACATTAATTAAGCAAATCACTTAAGTATTGAAATAGTGGCATTTGCAGGACAAGGGTTCAGGCTTATTATAAAAGCTGGGGAAGGAGGGAGCTACAGAAGAACAGATGAGACCCGGGTGTGACTGTCTACGACTTTTGCAAACAGACTCATAAGATCAAAATATATAAAAAATCCTGCTAATAATAATCCAGGGAAGATGCTTTTATGTTGGGGACTAATAGTTAAAAATAAAAAGTAATGCTTGGTAAGAATTTACTGTATGGTAGGTGCTGTTCTAAGCGTTTATTTGATCCTCGGTGCAACCCTACTGAGTAGGTGCTGTTAAAATCCTCATTTTATCCATGAAGAAACTAAGACCCAGAGGACGTGAGAAGCCAGGTCACGGGAGGCGGCCCGACTCCCCACAACAAGAAGAGCGAGTACAGAGCACGTGTGAGTGGCCATGCCCCTCCCGTGCAATTCTGTTAATGTTCATGCTAATGTCTTGAAGAAAAAATTAACTATTATCTCTGTGTTACTTTGACTTTCTCCAGGGGTTTAACTGCCTTTCTCAACAAAATGTAAATGCACTTGCCTCTTGGAAATAAGCATTGAGATTTGTGCAAACAGGGACTTACTGATTTAACTTCAAACATGACTAAGCTCCAGAATGCTAGTAAGTTTCAGTATTAGGGGGTGTGCATCTTCCTCCCTACAGTGCGTAGTTACATTTCATCTAGCATTTTAGTAGAAATTAAAAGTACATATTTGTGACTCTTCATTGATTTCTCTTCAAAACAAAACTGTTTTCAACTGTGGGAAGAGCGGCCAAATGACTAATTGGAATTACTGAAATTTTATGCATTTTGATTCACCAGTATGCCACAAAGCCTTTAGAATAGGGAAATTATACATAGGCTATATTGCATATAACATGTATTATGATACTTATATATGTCAATGAAACAGCTAATCTTTCTCAATCCTTCAAGAAACAACAACAACAACAAAAAAACTACACAAACTCCAACTATCTACAGTCTTTCTTTCAGTCCAAAATAAACATTTCCAGGGAATGAGGGGCGGGGTTGGGAGAAACAGCAGAAATCAGGGGACATGAATCCTGGCCTGGTGTCTGTTAGCAAGAGCCTGTAAATACAGTGATCTTATTTAGGAATCCACCAGGCTTCTCTGACAGCTCCTTTTATGGACTGACAAGTGTTCCTTCTCATCGTCGAGAATTTTCTGGTTGCTCTAATACCCCAGTTAATACTTGCCACAGATACTAATTCAATACAACTCAGTTTCAGGGTTCCTCATTATTCATCTGGTTGCTTTACATACAGTCTGAAAAAATTTATGTTTAAAGGGAACTAAGCATTATACATTTTACATTTCTACTAAAATACTGGTGGAATATTACCAGTAGCCCTTACTGCAAAGTAGACTTGTAATAAATTGCTAGAATTCTGCAGTTTGCCTGAAATTATATTAATACCTAAATGTTTGCCCAGAGTTCAAAGAATGAAACATTTTCTTGTGACTCCATGCTGTTTTCAGCAGGCTGAGGGGTGATGTCTTCCTATTGATTCTTAAAGAAAAGAGTAAAGGAAAAAGCTTTGACCTAGTTCTTACCCCAGGACCTTGTCAGCGGAGATCCAGATTCTGAATGTGTTCATTCCGACAGACACAGTCTGAACAGGCAGGTAATCCCGTCCCAGGGAGGGCGCTGCCTGGAATTTGAGAGTGTGTGGGAGGGACTTGTTAGAACAACTGATCGTGGAACTGACGCTCTTAGGAAGGCAGAGAGGAGAAGTCTGTATGACCCAAAACTTGAGGAGCTGTGACACTGAGTAGTAGAAAGACTGAGGTTTAGGGCAAAGCAGGGCACTGGAGGCAGACATCAGAGGGCTGTGGCTCTATTTTGCAGCATGGTGCCACAGGGCCCGCACTTACGTCGTGTCCGTTATTTCATGCAATTGCCACATGATCCCACATGTGTGGCATTAACATTATGTAGATTTTATAGCTGCCCAAGAGCACGCCATTCAGTGGCAGGACTGAGCTTTGAGTGCGTGTCTGCCTGAGCCAGAGGCCCGTGTCTTTCCAGCACTGCCATGGCCCCTGTGTGACTACCTCCTAAGAGCCTCACAGGAGAGGCAGAGCCTTGGACCCTGTGTCCCAGGAGCTCAGCCCACAGAGGAGGAACCAGCATCCCTGAGAGAGGATGGCCCAAAGCTCCTGTCCTAACCTCGGATGACAAACGGGGACCGCAGGGCTGTAGCCCCTTGCCCTGGCCCGGCACAGTGACAGGTGACGCTTGCCAGTTGTTCAGTTATACCACTTCACATGCACCTGCTATGCACCCTGCCAGTGCCTCCCGGATGGTCACCATCACCGTTTCCCTTCTCATGGGAGGAAGATGTTCAGAGGCTGAGTGTCCCCAGGACTCGTAGCTGGTCAGCAGGAGGAAGGACCGAGCCACCGGTCTTTGGCTGGGGGCCTGCCTCCCTCTTTCACGGAGCACCCGCCATGTGAGACCTGGGGAGTGGGAGATAGACCTGCCCTGCGGCTCTCCCGGCACCCAGTGTCATGGGGCTGCAGCCAATCACACAGACAGCATGTCAGGACATCAGAGGGTCCTGCTCGGCAGACGCAGAGGCAGCTTCCGATGGGCTAGGGCGTGTGGCTCCCTCACCCACAGGGCTCCTGGCCTCACCCACAGCACGTGTGCGGAGCAGAGCTGAGCAGGCTGATGCGACAGTTACTGGCTAGAAGACGATCCTTCTCAGGGTTTACGATCTCCTGCTCACCTGAACACATAACGTGTAGACAACAGTACTGGCTCCGTGCACTCTTCCTTCTGAAGTGGTCACAGTTTTAACTCTACAAGCAACGCATTTGTGCAAAAGGGTGACTCTCTGTGGACAGAGCTTTGAGGAACCAGGCAGAGCACAGGGGCTTCTGAGCACAGGGCGTCTTCCTCACCCTCATGTGCTGTGACAGAGACAGCTACTCGATCTGTTTCCCGGCAGAAACAACTCTACTTCTGAAAATACACTTAAGAAGACATTTTGGTCCCCTATGATAAGACTTAAAAGCTTGTGGAATCCCATTACCCAAGAAGAAAAGAAATCTGTTGGTGTTTGGATATATTTTCTTCCTGCCCTGAACTGTAGGACTCGCTATTATAAAACAAACGTCAAATTTCTGCAAGATGATTAATAAGTTCAAAGGGCAGCAGGACAGATAAATGATAAAGCAGAAAATAAAATGGTAATGGTAGAATCAGAGCTATGGGTAGGAATGTATTTGCTATAAAATGCTTTTCATTTTCCACAACATTTTTACAATAAAATGTTTGGGAAAATAAAATGTAACCACAATTACAGAAAATCATTTGTCCCCCAACTCTTGTGTTAAAAAAATAGCAATTACTCAGTCAAAAGTCTGAGTATTATATGAATACTTATGTCAAAATACATGAAAATACTTCTCCAAACATTTGTCCCTAGAAATACTCTCACCAAGAGAATGCCTGAGACTGTTGAGGTAGCAGTTTTTAAATCTATGAACAACTTTAATGAGTTGTAATTTACTTACAGTGAAATCCACAGACCCTGAACGTACAGACACCAGAGCAGCCCACACCCCCAGCAGGATCTAGAATGTTCCCATCACCCTGCAGAGCTCCTCATGCCCACCCTGCCTCAGTGACCCTGTGCTGATTTTCTTCTGCAGGATTAGATATGTCTTTTCCTAGAGCTTCTTACAGATGGACGGACATCGTACATGATCTCCTGCTGCTGTCCTGCTATGCCCAGGGTGCTCAGTCATTCACATCATGGCAACGGCCGCTTTTTATGGCCAAGTAGCGTTTCATTGCGTAACTAAACCTGTTCATTAATTCTCTTGCTAATGGACATGAGATAGCATTTTAAATTTAAAACAACAACTCAAAGTATCTTCACACCATTCATATAAGAAAGGACGTTTTGTGAGTTTGGCCAAGGTATTTTGAACTCTGTGGCTGTGCACAAATAAATGGGTGATCGGTAGTAGGGGTTTGAGGGACCCTGTTACAGGTCACAGGAAAAACGCCTGCAGGCCACCTGGAGGTTGGACCTGTTTAGGGCACAGAAAGAGCATTTCAAACATTATCTTTATGCATTACTCTTAAAAACTCTCAAATGACTTCTAAGAAAAGGCTCAATGTTCTATGGCCACTTTCTACTTCCCTTTTTTGGTAAATATTTTGAACAGTCCCTAAGTTTCCCATGAGGAAAGTTCATTTTATTTTCTCTCCTAACGTTTCACCACAATTTTATTAATTGGCAATAGATTCTGTTTTTAATTCGCACGGAATTAGGCTTACATAAGAAATGAAAGGCATCCAGTTGAAAATCACAGGGTTTTTAGGGCTGGAAGGGACCCTTGCAACCATGCATCTCAAATTCCTCAAAAAAAGTGGGGTTCCGTGATTTGTCAAAGGCCCATGGCTGGTTGTGCCAGACCTGGGCCCAGAATTCTGGCTTCCTGGGACCAGTCCTCCTGCACCTTTCCTCTCTGTGGGCTGAGGCCAGGGCGGCCTTATGTACCCCAGGTCCTTTGCATGGAGTTGGGGCACAGGGCAGTCGGCACGGCAAGAGCGGGGGCCGGGTCCCACCTGCTCTCACGGCAGCCCTCTTACCTTCCAACCTTTGGCCACGAAGCCCCATGCATCCCGTGTGCGGCTGTACCTGTGTGTCTCCAAGCCGGGCCGTTCTGTGAGCCTCGCCTCACACCAAGTAGTGTGGCAGGAGTGTGTCAGGCTCAACACCCATTAAGCTTCTTGGGTTTTATTTTTGAAAACGTTGTGTTTTATGGCAGCTGCAGTGATGCAGAACCATACAGGGTTCAGTAGAGAGACCTCATTAAAGGCTTGGCTCATGGCAGAGAGTTCAAACCTACAGACATTGTCAGAGGTAAGGAGCTTCCCAAATGAAAAAGGAGTGGTTAGAACTGGGGAGGGGCAGAGGCTGGCCACTGCACCAGACGGCCATGCGGCGGGCTGGCCAATGGCAGTATGTGCACAAACTCTGGTGTCGTCTCAAGCTAGCAGGTGAAGCAAGCTTAGCGCCGCTAATGGGAAAATCCTGGGTGCAGTTGGCCTCGGCCCCGGCTTTGTGTTTTGCCCTATCCTGGGGTCAGGGCCTAGCGGCGCCTCTTTGATGGTGGGATGGCGAATTTGATGCAGCCTCCCGGCTGCCTGTCAGGTTCATAAGTAGGGTAGCAGTCCTCACATGGGCTCAGGGAAACCCCTGGAAGCCACAGTGCTCTGTGTGAAGACAGCACCGGGGAGCAGGGATGCATCAGGTCGCGAGGACATTTCCAGCGGCAGGAAACCAGATGGCCGGGTGCGAGCAGTGTGGCCCGGTGCACCGGGCCTCGGGAATGAGGTGGCCAGCCGGGACCCTTGGGCTGCTCGCAGGCCCTTCCTGTTCCTCCACGAGGGCCAAAGCTTAAGGCCAACTGAGAGGGAAGACACGTAGTTACGATGCTTTTCCTGTGAACTGTGAGAACAGAGCTGCTGTTTTAGGAGCTGGACATTTCCGCCAGCACTCTGGTGGGGTCCAGTCGAGAACCACTATTTCAGAAGGACATGCTCCCCCGAGAGACCTGGGTTTTTCTCCCTGGTCTCCGCTCTTACCCGTCCTCCACCCCAGGCCCTCAGCACCCTGGCGCTCCATCCATCTCCTCCTCTGAGAAAATTGATGCTGCTTCAGTAAATTCCTTTGCAATGAGATCTGAATTACTATTAGGGCACAAAGTTTATCAAGCACAGTCTGGAGCGAGAGGTGGGGAGCTCTGGCTGTAGGCGTCAGCGGGCAGGCAAGGAGCTCATGGCATCACCAGGCAGAGGGCGGCCTGGCTGTCCAGGGGTCGGCATCAAACCGCACGTGCCCGGGAGAAAGGCGAGTAAGGAGAAAGGAGGCCCCCTGAGAGAGTCGCTCCGTCTTAGGGTGGCTTGCTCCGGGCTTATTAGGAAGGGTGAATGGAGGGTCTTCTGGAATCCAGCTGTAGGTGGGTTTCCGATTCTCTCCACCGGGAACCGGTCTCCTGCCGTGTCTCTGTATCTGAGATTCATGCTTGGATTCATTTATTCTCTTCATTTAGCATTATCTCTTCACTTTGAAATGGTTTCAGACTCAGGAAAAATTGGCAAAACAGCACAGTGTTTGGGCATACCCTTTACACACCATTTCCCCAAATGCTCCATCACAAGCAGCCACAGACCATCAACAAAATGAACCAGACACCCGGTCCAGCACTGCCGACGACAGGCGTGCCTCCTCCTGGGCATCCCTGCGCCCCAGCAGGCGCCCCGCCGCTCAGGCTCCCTCGCATTTCACGATCCTGAAGCTTACGATGTCCTGTTTGTCCGGTGCTTCCCTGCGCTCACGGTGGGAGCTTGTCCTTAGCAGGAATGAACACAAAGGAAAATGACCTGTGAAAAAGACAAGGCTGCAGATAGGAAAGGAGGGGAGTCCAATAGAGTGGGTCCCCCAGGGAGAAAAGATGGACTGGCTCGCCCTGGGTCAAGGGGAATCACGTCTCCTGTCCTGACCTCGGGGATGGAGGGAAACGCGGTCAGTGTGTAGCGTGGAGGCAAGCTGCTGGGAAAGTCCTTTTTGATCCTTGCCATTTATCCAGGAGGGAGCAGGCAG